CGAATAGGTTCTTTAGCCACCTACCTCTTTCATGCATACGTGTGAAAGAGATTCTATTGTATCCGATTTCAAAATTTTAATTGAATACACACACAACAATGAATGTGCTCAAGTAAAAAGTGTTTAACCTACGCGACGTTCCACTATAACAACTTTATTCAAACTTTAGCCCGCTCATTATGAAAGTTTGTCGTCGGTACAAAACATGCTCAAGGTGAATGAAAGTAGTTTTTTCTATAGATACGAATTATTATTGGTAATGCCTTCCTAATGAATGCTTGATTGAAACATCACAATTGAAATTCTTTATGGCCAATAGGCGATATATAACTTTTCAGAAAACATCAAGTATCATAAGTTCCTATTTCTATTTTCTTCAAAAGATGTGTTTCATTTTTCTATTTTAATTGCCTTTTTCGAGACACCGATTTCTATTTCTACTTGGGACAGACTAGGTTTATTTTGAAACAAAGACCGGATGGTACGATTCCATGTTTGTTTTTCATTTAGATCATCAGCATAATTAGGATACCTACCACTCAGTTACTGGGTCATTTAGCGGCCATTTAAATGACAAGAGTAATAATACATAACAGAGACATTATCACTGAAATCTATCAATTGGTCTCTCCACTCAGCCTACTGCCAAATTGATAAAATAGGACATAAATTATTATCATTTTTGTGCTTGACAAAGGGAAGGGAAAGGTTTATTAACGAAAAATGATTATAAATAAACGATAACAGCTTAAACCTACTTTCAAACAGCGAATGTTAACGTACATGACTGATTGAATAATTTTGGTGGAGGTGCTGACCACACAAACCGTATGTACTCGAGTGGATAAACAATGGAGTAAAACTTTATACTTTTTGCCTCAACAACGCATATCTGAAATCTGTAATTAATTAAGACAGAGTAACGTTGTTGATGTCAGTTGAAGAACAGGAGGAGAGCGTGTATCTTGAATTTTTCATTCCCCTTCTTTTGCAGCGTCGCCGCGACGGGCGTCGGCGTTCCCGTTCTTGCGAAAACCTTCAAAAATAATTACAAGCGAGCCCCCGCCGGCTCACCCTGTCCCTGCCCCCTCCCTCGGACCCTAAGATTCCAAATTCATCCACGGAGCAATTATTCAAATCATAACATATTCGTCGACGCGCAGAGGGCGCACCGACGCGACGTCCGTGTGCGGAAGGGTGACAGGACGAGGGGGGTCGCAAAGGGCTTCCAGCCTTTCGTCCTTTTCCTACTCACGTCCGTCGCATTCGTAAACGTTTCGTACGTATGTATACAAAGATACATACATACATACACAGCGAAAGTTTTAATGACCGAGCGGGCAGAGTTTGTCTTAACTCGTCTCTCGTTGTATGCATCCATCCATCGGGCAAAACGCGAGTGAAGAAGGAAGAAATGCTAATCGATAATTGTCACGAATGGGGAAATGTACCTACTCATTCTCGCATATGCGAGAACGCACACAGACGTACGCACACACAAACGCAAAACGTTCGTGTATGAAAACATTAGGGAGAGAAACACACGCAATCCTTCTTGGTGCGATAAAAACCGAATAAGCTTTAATTGTGCTAATCCTCACACATACGTGAAACGTACACACGATATCCACATTTTATCTTACGACCCATAGGTACATCGATTTTTGATCCTAAGGCTGTCAAGTTACGCGATTCGAAATTCGCATCCTTTCTTTTTTAATCATTACACGTATATCCATGGTAAACTGAGTTTTTTTTGGATTTGTCTAACATTTATTGAATCCGATTGTCCATACTGTCAGCCGATACCAAGCTGCTTCGCGAAGTCTTTATTGGAGATTGAGCAAGAACCGATCGAATTATCATAAAAACCTCTGCGACTTGAGTACTCGGAAAAATTCTAAAAACTTTTCCAAACATAGTTGCGGATGCTGCGTTATAACTCCCACCCATCGACATTCATCACACTTCAATGGGAGACACAGGGCTACCCGAAGTCCCAATCATTACCCACAGGAGCGGTTTCATGGAAGACCTACATTCTACACGTTTTCATATGATTTACTATACGTATTTATTCGAAAATAAAACTTGCGCATGCATCTGTAGATTAGTGTTATACGTCGCTGAATTCGTTAGTTAATTTTATAGCTAGGTACATTTTCTCAGTACAATAGGAAGTTTCGTTGTGTGTTCGAAGGTTACACGTACCTACATACATACGTATTTAATAATAACAGTAATAATGAAGCGTGTTGATTTTCTCTTATTATTAAAATACAAACAGGAATAAGCAAAGTTATTGTTAGTTAGTTTGCGAACAAAATATTCCGCCAGAACGATTCGCCATCACACTTCTGTTTTGTTCATACATATGCGGAAGTTAGAACCAAGTTTAGATTTATTTAAACTTTCGCGTTATTAATGAGTTTAAGTGCGCACACATCTATATATGTACGTGTATGCATTTATCTACTAATGACTTTCGTTACTGAATTTACAGTTTAGCAACTAGGTACATTTTCTTTCCGTTATTAGGTACCTATTAGGAATTGTAATTACTGCCATAGCGAATGGGTAGTACTTTTGTACATTAATCCGTTTCCATTTTACAATAGGGCAAGGATTTTTGATGATCTCTTTGCTGTCTTGGAATTGGATTGTTTCTCTATTCGTTTAGACAGCGATTAAAGTCAGTGCCATTCAATAAGATTTTACGAAACGATTATGAAACATCGTTTGAGTTCAGTATTCAGAGTCGTCGGTGTTATTGAAAGGCTTTTCCGCTTTTCCGGATTATTCATCCCCATTCCGCCACCACGCACGGTCCCGCGCATCCCACACACACACGTATGCCACAACTGTTTCGTTTGTGATTCGGTTTCTTGTGCTTTTGCTCATCGTCGCTCGCATACATGTAAGACCATATGTGTATGCGTGCGTTTTCCCACACACTCGTTCGCAACGTGTAGGTAGGAAAATCAAAGAAGCGACAGTCGAGTAAAACTTACGAGAGAAAAGCAGCATCGCGACACGACCGCGAAACTAAAGAAGCACGAGCTTCACTTCGAGTATTAGGTAGTTATTTTACTCTCGATCATGAGGCAAGAGCAGCAACGGGCGATGCATCAACCGAACGGGATTGAAGCTGCTGCCGTTGATGTGGAGTCGAGCAAATGCAAGTGGGTTATTCCTGGTGTCGGTGGTGTGGACGACGGCTCGTTCGCGGCGGAAACGCCGACGACGACGACGACGGCGGCGAGAGTTAACTTGCTTGGCTGTTTGTTGTTGACCGGTCGGAAAATCGGCGTCGATTTTCCCAACTAGTGCGTGTTTTACCGTCGTTTGTTTAGTGAGTGGTTGGTCGACTCTCGGTCGGTTGGTCGGCAGCGAGAGCTTTCGGTCGGTCGGTCGGGGGGTCGATCACCGCGCTCGCGGCTAATAGACATGTACGTGGTCTTGGATCAGATACGCTACCGCGGGTGCGATAACACAGACCCGAAAAGAAGACGGAGGCGCCGGAAGTAAGTAAAACAATTGGGAAAACAAACGACCGATCAGGTTGAGAAAAAATGCTCCCGATGTCAGCAAGATCTCTGTTTGAACAATAAAGTATTATAATATTACCACTGATTGTAAAGTGTAAATAATAAAAAGAAAAAACAAAAACAGATGCACACAACACTGAGTTTTTGAATTTCTATTATGCAGATATTACTTTCCAAGATTAACTTTGTTTACTGTTACATTTTTAACTAAGCAAATAATTATTTACTTCTACTGATTTATATTCTATAAAAGAACTAATGCTAAACAAATTTTGAACAATACATTTTACGTTTAGAATGTCTAAATTGAATTCAGATCATGTTTCCATCTTTCTATCGTCTACAAAATTAAAATCTGAAATGAAAAGAAACTCATCATCAAGTCTTTCGTAGAGTCTTATGTTTCAGCGAGCAAAAAAGCACGGCGTATGTTATTCAGCATCCAACGATAGTGTGCTTACGACTTACGTTCATCGTAGTTTATATCGTACTTTTTCGTACCTAATACGTATTACAAGCGAGTTGCATGATCCCGAGATAATTTCTGGATTGCTTCGTGCGGACTATTCTGATGACGAATAAGCAATCTTTCAGTAACAACAACAAACAACTGTTTATTAATGTACGAAATATTTATTAAAAGATCCAAGTGCCTACATATAGTACTGTTTTCATTAAAGAAGTGTAAAAGAGAGGGAGAGAGCGATACGATGAATATTAAAATAATAGGGGAGCGCGGTTTTTGATTTTCGTCTACAGCAGTCACGTAAATGTATGTGTCTGATGATGATTGTACGTATACATTTGTATACGAAAAAGAGGAGCATCAGAGCAGGGCGATACCCGCGGTATGTAGAGAGGGCCGTGGCCGTAGTCGAAGACGCAAGGAAAGAAGAAATAAGAAATAGATGATGGAATCGAATGCAAAAACAAGAGCGCGAGCGAGCCGGTGGGCGCGCTAATGAGAACGGGTCGCGGAGCGTCGCGGCGTCCGCGACGTAACGGGAGCGCCCCTACGCGACACCAGAAAGAAAACTTTCTTGCGCGCGTACATCATTTCTCGGTGCACTTATGCAAAATAGAGAGAGGGCCGTCGGTCGGGCCTTAGCGTCGGTCTTCGTCGTCGTCGGCGACGACGGCGGCGTCGGTAATTAGTGGTCGACGCCGACGGCCGTCGGGAGGGGATACGTGTGTGTATATGTATATACGTATGTGTGTATGTGTGTGTGTGTGTGATTCCAAGTGCTCGCCGCCCCTTCATTCGAAGGATCTGAGTGTAAAACAGTAAGAGGGAGGAAGCGGGATAGGGACGCCGAAGAACGTGCTTTAGTCCTCAAAGAGGTGGAGGAGAGGGGAGGTGAAGAAGACGGCGAAGTAGCAAGCAAGCAAGCAAGCAAGCGGGCAGGCAGCGCAAGCGTCCTTTCTCCTTGCAAGCTTTGTCTAATCGGATTCATTAACGGGGATACTGGAATTATGCGTCTATTTCGAAGCGGCATATTTTTGAAAGCACCAGTTGGACCCGCACCCCCTCGCAGACAACCGGCAATCAACGTCGCGGAACACAGGCCGCAGCCACTACCGCTACTACTTCTACTACCACCAAAGCTCGCGACTTGTTACTGTCAACAACTACAACTACCGTCATTAACATTAACACCGTCAGTGATTACATCGCAAAAACTACAAGACGAAAGGTTCGTTCTGACAACAGTACCTACAACTCTCAAAAATCATATCTACCGCGAATTGCTTTTTGTCTGAAAAACTACTGCCTACTATTCTATTTTACACTCACCCTCCTGCTGTATTAAGTAGTTTTCGTCGCAACGCAGTGTGACCATCTAATAAGTACTATAATGGTATTGTTATTGTTGTCTTCGGCAGTTTTTGTTGTGCGCGTTTGCGATTTGTTTAATGTTACAAGTAGTAGCGCTACCGCAACTTCCTGTTGTTCATCATCTTCTTCTTCTTCTTCTTCTTCTTCTTGTGCTATTCGACGTGTTTCTGTGTATGTGTCCATGTGTGTGCCCCGACTACCGTCTTGCGCTCTCAGCCACCACGCAACTCCTCTACGTATGTACCAACTATTTTAACTTTCTTTCGCAACTTTATCAAAAAACTTTTTCAAACTAACTATTAGATAATATAAACATATTTACATATACCTAATATTTACCGTTCCCATTTGAATATATTTTATTACGTATCGTAACGAATAACTGTTTGTTTCTGTCGACGAGTTGAAACTTTTAAAAGTTTTAAAATAGCGCCAAAGAAACCTTAAACCACTTTCGATATAGGTTGTAATTGCTTATATTCGACAATTAGAGGTCAAACTTAACGTTTTGTTAATTTTTTTAAGGATCTCGGTACAAAATGTACTTATCTTTCAAAAATGCCCTTTAAACTAATTAGATAACTCATTAAGCACGACTTTTAATTGACTATAGTGAATTGGTGTAGCAGAGTACCTACTTTGAGAAAGTTCCAAGTCTCTTCTCTTAATAAAAGGATACTTCAAAACTTTGTGATATTTTGGCTTTTAGCCTCTGTGGAAAGCGTCACAATTATTTAAAAATGCAATAATAATATCGATATCAAGTGTTTCAATTTCGGTTTGCATAAAAATTATGTATAAATGTTTGAAAATCATCGACGCGTTCTTTATTGAGCAGACATCGACAAAATAATTAAAAATGCAATACTGTTGTTCACAAAAATCCCTAAGTCTCCATAAAAAAATCCAAATTTTTTAACGCAAAATGTCAAAAAAACAAAGTAAGAATAACTCAAAGAATACTCCTGTTGCACAAGGATATTACATGAAAATTTAACTCTTAAAAAAAGGAAATTCGTATTACAACCACTTTGGCCATTGATAAATTCTAACGACAACAAGCCAAGACAAGTGCGACACGTCAAGTCTTCGTTCTGTCATTATAATTCCATCAGACAGTTCCAGGAAGGTTGTACACGGATAATCTCGCACATCCCATTGTTACTTTACCTAAACTTTATCCACCTACATCTACCTGTGTCCGTGTGTCGGTACGGCTCCAACTTTACGACAGTTAGGTATAATAGTTCCCCAATAAATTTGTAGGAGAAAGGCAATTTTGTCAGCAAATACAGTCACCGATGTCGTTCATAGATGTGCAAACGTGTTTTATCCAATTCAGTGTATCGTTCTTGTAATTATTGTTGAGTCCTTTAAATATTACGTGGTGTTTTCCCGATAAAACATGTGTTCAAACTCGGAAAAGTTTGTGTGCGACCCTGTTAACTAACACAACAGTTTACTAAGTGGTCGACGAAAGTGAAATAGTTTCAGGAAAGCTTTTGGCAAAACTAAAACAGCATTACTTGCTCAGGTATTGTATTAACCATCGTTTTTTTTTTATTCATTTGTATGTATTTCCAACATACCTTACTCTTATTGACCGTTGAAATCGTTTCGAAATTCTTAAGAATGTGGACGAGATTGTGTAGTTTCATAATCTTGGATGTCATGTGGGTACAAGTCTTTTTTATTCTTTTTGAGTATTTCATACATGGCTCAGTCACCTACGCCAAAGAAAAAGAAAACTAATATTGTAATTTATTTTATTTGTGGAATTCTGATGATTTGGGCAGCTAAATTAATTACAACCTTCTAGTTTTGTTTTTGTAGCAACTCAACCTTTCAGTTGAGAGTATTCGAAAGACAACAACAGAAACGATCCTGTAAGATGTTTGCTTTACAAGCCCTTTTCTTCATATTTCTTATTAAATACCCATAGAAGGCGGTAAATCGACATCTTGATAAATTTTGCCCTACTATATCCTACATCTAGCATCTAATTATTATTATCATTAAACGCGATAATTTTTAACCTTCTTCCCCTCCCTCGCCCTCTTGACAACCGGAATCCATACCGACCTCCTCAAAATCTTTTTCAAGCGCGGCCAAATCCTCCCTGGCCTCTGTAAATTCACCCTCTTCCATCCCTTCGCCGATATACCAATGGACGAACGCTCTCTTGGCATACATCAGATCGAATTTATGATTGAGTCGTGCCCAAGCCTCTACGATTGCTGTCGTATTGGCCAGCATGCAAACGGCCCTTTGAACTTTTGCCAGATCGCCACCGGGAACGACCGTTGGAGGTTGATAGTTGATCCCAACTTTAAACCCCGTGGGACACCAGTCGACGAATTGGATGCTGCGTTTCGTTTTGATAGCTCCGATGGCAGCGCTCACGTCTTTAGGAACCACGTCTCCGCGATACAGCATGCAGCATGCCATGTACTTTCCGTGTCTTGGGTCGCACTTTACCATTTGATTAGCAGGTTCAAAACATGCGTTCGTTATGTCGGACACCGAAAGTTGCTCGTGATACGCCTTCTCGGCCGTTACAACAGGAGCGTAGGTCACCAACGGAAAATGGATGCGAGGATACGGAACTAAATTCGTTTGAAATTCAGTTAGGTCGACGTTTAGTGCTCCGTCGAAACGGAGCGACGCCGTTATAGACGAAACTATTTGGCCGAGTAGTCTGTTCAAGTTGGTGTACGTGGGCCTTTCTAAGTCCAAATTTCTTCGACAAATGTCGTAAATCGCTTCATTGTCGACCATGAAAGCTGCATCGGAATGTTCTAACGTTATGTGGGTTGTCAATATAGAATTGTAAGGTTCTACGACTGCCGTGGAGATTTGCGGCGCTGGGTAAATGGCGAATTCAATTTTCGACTTTTTGCCATAATCAACTGAGAGCCTTTCCATCATCAATGGCGTGAATCCCGACCCGGTTCCTCCACCAAACGAATGAAATATTATGAATCCTTGAAGACAGCTACACTGATCGGCCAATTTTCGTGTCCTGTCCAAAGCCAAATCGACGATTTCTTTTCCAATAGTATAATGCCCGCGAGCGTAATTATTAGCGGCGTCTTCTTTGCCTGTTATCAATTGTTCAGGGTGAAATAAGTGACGATACGTTCCGGTCCTGACTTCGTCTATTACAGTCGGTTCCAGGTCTATAAATACGGCTCTCGGGATGTGTTTTCCCGCTTCCGTTTCGGCAAAGAATGTACTAAAACTGTCGTCACAACCGGCGGCTTTATCGGAAGGTAAACAACCATTGGGTTGGATCCCGTGTTCGAGACAGTACAATTCCCAACAGGCATTGCCAATTTGGACACCCGCTTGACCCGTATGAATCGAAAGAACTTCCCGCATTTTTGCAGCCCGATTTTTTCCCACAAATTATAACCGAAACACCCCAAAGACCAAACCACCCTTTTAAAGTGACAAATTTAGTCAGCTACTGTTTATTAGCAACGATCCGTTGACAACTTGATTTTCAAATCGGTAATACCTACTACACATATAGAAAACTGTGCAGGTATTTTTTTATAATAAAATGTTTTTCTTCGTTTCCGGTTGCAACACAGGATTAGTTGTGTGACCTCCGGCGGAATGAGGAGATTTATTGGCGTAAAAGGTTCGAGTTAACATGTTCCGTGACGTTCTGATAAAATTTGCATGCCCTAATCGCTTATACAGTCGAACTTTGGAGATGTAATTAATAATTTCTTGTTGCCGTACATGTCATTTATTTATGTTCATGTCGAAATTTCGTGTGTTTGTGAAATTATGTTTATGTTAATTCGCCCAAAAAGCATCGGGCACCGTCGCAAACGCCAAATATGTTTTAACACACAAGTTACTTTATGTTACCATCATTTATCAATACCTATATTTATACATGTTCGATGATCGAACTCATTCTACCTCCTATTTTGTACGATATTCTAAATTTTTGGGTTTAATTGATAATAAGCCTTGACATTAGAGGGTTACTTAAATGCTATATAAACGACAAATTGTTTTGTTTACTAAAACGACCATAAAATTAAATAATATAAAATGATTTTTACTAATCCATGGCTTCGTTTCTTGGTAAAACTTTTTGAATCTAATAGTTAATCAAATAGAACACTACAATTGAATATCCCATCAAAAATTGAGACTTTGTTTTTGAAAGTAAAAATTATGCTTAAGTTTTCTTTTAATCCTTTCATTTTGCTGAAAGAAAAACCAATTTTATATACGATATATACGGTTCTTAATTTCGGAATCGACACTTTTTAGACACTCTTTCTATTTACGATTTGGTAAACTTAAGGATTCAGGGGTTTCAGGAATGTTTTCAATACGAAAAAAAGTTAGTTTTACACAAAAAAAGATACTAAATAAGTAACTATCTAGAATTGAACGCCTTTTCTGTAATAGGTACATACATACCTACAGATTCAGAATCATCAAAAATAAAAATAAGCCGACCGTCAGGTCTGAGCGTTTTTCCAACAAATCTATCATTAAAAAATTAACCATTATATACATGGGCTGAATAGTACCTATCATTTCTGACATATTTATAAATGTAGGTATGCATGTATGTATTAATTAAAACGATCGATATGTTTGTCGTGTTTAATACCTATCCCGTCAAATACGTATGTATATGTATTGACGTACACGAGTTGTACTTTCTTGTATCATGTGCAGTTAAACGGGGTCCTACTTTGCTCTACTGCTCTAACACTGCTCGATTTACTCGTTAAAACACTTCTTTATGATCCAAACATAAGCAGTTATTAACTCAAACTTTGTTATACGTATTTAGACACGACTCAGTCGTGTAACAATGCTGCACACAATCGTTCATTCGAATTTATGCATGTTGCAAACTAATGTTCTAAACAAATTCGACAACAAATTGCACTCAAACATTCATGTGTTATCTTATCTATTTGAGAAACAAAAGAAAATCAGTTGTATTATATAGAAACAAAATGGTATTAATTTTTCATCATCCTTTTTTGGTTATATTTGTTAATCTGAAATTTTAAAGTGCTCTAGTTTTGCTACAAAAGTTCACCGAAACAATTGTAGAGTTTTGTATTAAACTATTAGAAATATAAAAAAGCAATTTAATTATTTTATTAGTGAAAGCTACTACAGTAACGTCTACATTTTAAGCGAGTGCGTTGGTCAGTTTTCGGAAATTGTTTTACAGTTTTACCTGCCCATTTGAGCTTTGCATGCAAAGGTTTTTCGACAGGTAGATGCAAGTCAGTATAACAACACGTAGGACATCATGTTTGTTGACCATTACCTGCGTACATGTCCTTTGGCGTATGTATGAATGTACATTAAAAGTTTTACCTGTGTGTGAAGCTTTAATCGCTGGGAATCCCAGCACCATCAGCCATCCGAAAACATTCTCAGAGTACGGACTGTAGAACGGGGTGTACGTGCATACGTATCATAAACCTTTCAAAGATAATCGTGAAACATACCTATTATACCATTAAGGACGGACGACCTGTTCACTGACTCAGGGGGTGGTAATACTTAAAAATTAAACGTATTTAAAATTTCGCCTGCGATTTTCTCCGAAACCCCAATAAAAATCTGCCTGTAACTTGACAGGACGAAAACAGATTTATTTATTTATTTATTTGTTTACAATACACAACAAAGACTTACCTACAAGTATTTGCCGTAATTGTTTTCAGATTATCCTCAAAGAGCACAAAAACCGTTGTACAAAATTTTCATAAATTTTTCGTCTAAAAAATATTTTACAGGGCTACCTCTCTTTGATATTATTATTGGTTTTTTTTATGATTTACTATTGTTTGTTTTATTTTAAAATACGTTTATTAAAAAGGTAAACGTATTTTTTAATTTTTTTCATTAATAGGATTAATTATATTTTATATTTCATAAAAGCATCGTTCATTAGGGCACTTAGATTTGAGCAAGAACTATTAACATAAGTGTGGTGTTGAGCTTTTACTTTTAATTACAGCTAATAAAGACATGAGAGAAATGGTAATTAATGACAGGTAAGTCCTACTAAGAATATGGGTAATTTATGTAATCTCGTATGTTTCCTATCTTCTGCATTTCAAATTATTATAAGCGTTAAAACCCTAATTAATTCTAAAGAAAAGCACGCATTATCTGTCATAAGAAATGGAGTTTTGAGCATCTAATAAATCGCTAAATATTAATTTATTATCAAAATAAATAAAACTATTAAAGAATAGGTATACGTAGGTATTTGTCTGGAAAAGTGATTATTAAGTAGAAAAACTAACTAAACTAATGGTCCTTTATAGGACTATGGTTTTGTTTTTCTGATGTAAATTTAATGGGTGAGAGGTTAATTTCCTTAAAATTTTTAATACTTTCCGAAAGCTGCATGATATATGTTTCACTAAATCGAAAAAATCGCTATCAATTTCGCCTAAGCGTATCTGGATGCCAACTAAGTTGGCATAATCGAGAGATAATTGATGATGCCAACATAGGTGGCGAAAAGCGGATCAATAAATGTATTAAATTCTGTAGTTTGTAGGTCCTGAATAGTTATTAGTAATACATTTTCATAATCGCGCATCAAGCACTACGTAAGCCATCTTAAAATGATTCTGTCTTTTTCCATTAAAGTATACGGAACCCTAAAAAGGTAACGGTAATAACGTGGACTATATACAGGTAAGGCAAATATACACGCTCTCTGATGATTGCGATTGCGTGTAACAGAATATCCCTATGTTTGATTCTCAACTCGCCACCAGTGTAGGAAAGTATGTATATGTATGTGGGCTTATAGCGAACACACCCGTTATTCTTAATCAGTTCCTAATTCCCGCTGATTTCTTGGCATCTAAAATACGTCACCGGTCCCTGGTCCCCGATCTCCGCTGTCCTTTTACCCCCTCGCTTGCCCGACTAACCACCAACGCTAAGCGATTATATACGTGCGCGAATATATAACGCACGCACGCGATACCAAAACTTGCATGTCTTTCTTGTTGTGACCCTTTCGTGACCGGGCTCATATGACGACGATGACGATGTTTCTTCAGTGAAATTTTGATAGGTTAATTGTGCCCATGATTTGTGTTACGGCCCCAACAACCCCGCCGAAGACCCAACGGATATTCGGAGGTACTAACTCATAAACTAATAATAACAATACGAGCTGTGCCGTGTCACTTTCTAAGTTTTGTCCAAACCGACAGCGTCAGTGTTGCTTGCTTATATGCAGTATGATCGACCAAAGTGAGAATTATCTTAATATTAGTTGGTTATACGTGTGTACTAATTAGGGAAGTGATTGATTACCTAAGCGCTGTGTGAAGATCGAAGGTAAGAGTAGTAATTGCGAGCTTTGGCGAGATTTTCGTGGAATTTGTCAAGACCCGTTTCACATTTTCATGTTTAACTAATTTAATTTAAAACCTGAATTCATTAATTAACTTCTAACTATTACTACCAATAACTAATGGCAAGGAAGCAAGAAATAGGTAAAATTTAGTTTTAGATTTTAGTAAAGCGCTACTTTTACTAATGTGAAATTCGTCGCTACTTTTTAACTAATGTTAAATGGTGTTAGTGTGAGTTAATGTTTCACACGTTTAATACGAAATCTCGATGTTTTAGAGTAGATTATAGCATAGCCCGACAATCTCATTGTTCTTGATCCATATTATCCACATACAAAGTCCAGCGACCGATTCATGAAAATCAATTTGATTTCCAATTTTTTGCCATCGCCGCAACATAATCGACGTAGAGCTATGGGAACTAATTGACAAAGACAAATATTTTAATCAGTAAAAAAGCGGCGCATTTCTTCTCTTGTTCGACTCTTCACGCTCTTAAGAAGTTGGTGTTTTTTTAGATGCGACGTGTGTGTAAAAATTTCGTTCCAGACGGAGACCCATCGGCTTCCCATCGATGCCGATGTTCAATAAACATGACATCGCCTCATTTATATCTTCCTATTTTTTGTATACATAATGTTACATCGACAGAATGTTGCACATCTCTAAATCCATTTCCAAATATTTATTATGACTTATCCATACAACGACATGCGTGTAGATCGAAATCCTTAGTCAATTTTGTGGTGGTCCTTTTTTTGATCGAATCTTATATATTTTCATAATTGTCAGTTATATGGTTTAATGTTTATAAACAACAATTTCAGTGAGTGTCATCCTCGAACCCAAACGGAGGATTCCTATAATTGTATACTAAAAGATTCAGGATGCGCGCTTTTTATTTTCCCGAATATTTTATTCGTTTTATTTTGTTGTGCCTCGTACTCTATTGATAATGTTATTCTTTCCAGAAGCACGAAATTTAAAAGAAAAGTAATGGTCTACATGTGACAAAACTAGTTGATTTATACCGAAAAACAAGATGTCGCAATCCCACTATTCGCTAAGATGGAACAATCATCAGGCGCACATACTGTCGGCATTTGACGCTTTGCTCCAAGCCGAAACTCTTGTAGATGTGACACTGGTTTGCGCAGAAACGTCCGTGAGAGCACACAAAGTCGTGTTGAGCGCTTGCTCCCCATTTTTCCAGAGGGTTTTCTCCGAGAATCCTTGCAAGCATCCTGTCATAGTCCTGAAGGATTTTAGCGGATGGGAGGTCCAAGCCATCGTAGATTTTATGTACAAAGGTGAGATCAGTGTTGTCCAAGAGCAACTGCAGAGCCTGATCAAGGCTGCCGAGAGTTTACAAGTCAGGGGACTTGCTCAACAAGATCAGTTCGCCGTTGATAAGGATTCCAGTGCAATCACAAATCACATGCCGACGCCCTCGACCTCGCCGAACGATTACGACAGGAATTTTTATCCCACGGGAAGGTTCCCGACTCCGGGAACTACAGTCAAAACTCCCGGGGAACGTTCGTCGCCCTTTTCGCCTCTGCCAGGTCCGAATTTCGAACCGCCGTTGAAATTACCTCACATGTCGCATTTATCGTTTCCCGAAGCCCTTTTGCCGCGTCCGGATTGTCAATCGCCGATCCCCAGAAGGAAACAGGCGAGGCCCAGGAGAAGATCGGGAGAAATGTGCGGAGCCCAGGATCTTAGTACCACGGCACCTAAAGTACCCTCGTCGCCGGTCGAAGAGACGGCAGAGAATTTGTGCATGAAAAAACATACCAAAGAAAGCGATAAGCCCAAGGAGATGCTCAAAGTAAAAAAGTTAGAATCCAGAACTCCCGAACCCGAACTGACGAATCAACACGAGAAAGACTACAGTTCTTCTTCGCCCATGAGCTTGCCACCTATGCTGAGTATGCCTCAACATGACTTGGACAATCATTCACCTTTAGCCTTTCCTCCCATGCCTTCTGTTTCAGCACTTGCTATGACACCTCCTCATACGAAATGTAAGCTTTTATTATACGCTTAGATGAGACAATTTTAACTTTAATAATGACCCAAAGGAAAACTGATCGCGGTACATGCACAGTTTTGTAGCGGTTTCTCTGGAAGGAACAATATTTTTTAAAACCTATCATAATTCTTAAGGAACAACTTCAGGTTCAGGTCGGGAACTTTCGGAAATTTTAATAAAGCGACAGTACCTGTCTCAAAATTTCGAGTGTTCATTACTTATTGTACTGCCATCAGTTTTCGTTTGGAGATTTATTTACTGAACACCGTGTATATTTATGTCCAAACTTACTTAGTGTACTATTGTTTTTTTTTTTCAGTGAATATCCCTATGTTTGATTCTCAACTCGCCACCAGTGTAGGAAAGTATGTATATGTATGTGGGCTTATAGCGAACACACCCGTTATTCTTAATCAGTTCCTAATTCCCGCTGATTTCTTGGCATCTAAAATACGTCACCGGTCCCTGGTCCCCGATCTCCGCTGTCCTTTTACCCCCTCGCTTGCCCGACTAACCACCAACGCTAAGCGATTATATACGTGCGCGAATATATAACGCACGCACGCGATACCAAAACTTGCATGTCTTTCTTGTTGTGACCCTTTCGTGACCGGGCTCATATGACGACGATGACGATGTTTCTTCAGTGAAATTTTGATAGGTTAATTGTGCCCATGATTTGTGTTACGGCCCCAACAACCCCGCCGAAGACCCAACGGATATTCGGAGGTACTAACTCATAAACTAATAATAACAATACGAGCTGTGCCGTGTCACTTTCTAAGTTTTGTCCAAACCGACAGCGTCAGTGTTGCTTGCTTATATGCAGTATGATCGACCAAAGTGAGAATTATCTTAATATTAGTTGGTTATACGTGTGTACTAATTAGGGAAGTGATTGATTACCTAAGCGCTGTGTGAAGATCGAAGGTAAGAGTAGTAATTGCGAGCTTTGGCGAGATTTTCGTGGAATTTGTCAAGACCCGTTTCACATTTTCATGTTTAACTAATTTAATTTAAAACCTGAATTCATTAATTAACTTCTAACTATTACTACCAATAACTAATGGCAAGGAAGCAAGAAATAGGTAAAATTTAGTTTTAGATTTTAGTAAAGCGCTACTTTTACTAATGTGAAATTCGTCGCTACTTTTTAACTAATGTTAAATGGTGTTAGTGTGAGTTAATGTTTCACACGTTTAATACGAAATCTCGATGTTTTAGAGTAGATTATAGCATAGCCCGACAATCTCATTGTTCTTGATCCATATTATCCACATACAAAGTCCAGCGACCGATTCATGAAAATCAATTTGATTTCCAATTTTTTGCCATCGCCGCAACATAATCGACGTAGAGCTATGGGAACTAATTGACAAAGACAAATATTTTAATCAGTAAAAAAGCGGCGCATTTCTTCTCTTGTTCGACTCTTCACGCTCTTAAGAAGTTGGTGTTTTTTTAGATGCGACGTGTGTGTAAAAATTTCGTTCCAGACGGAGACCCATCGGCTTCCCATCGATGCCGATGTTCAATAAACATGACATCGCCTCATTTATATCTTCCTATTTTTTGTATACATAATGTTACATCGACAGAATGTTGCACATCTCTAAATCCATTTCCAAATATTTATTATGACTTATCCATACAACGACATGCGTGTAGATCGAAATCCTTAGTCAATTTTGTGGTGGTCCTTTTTTTGATCGAATCTTATATATTTTCATAATTGTCAGTTATATGGTTTAATGTTTATAAACAACAATTTCAGTGAGTGTCATCCTCGAACCCAAACGGAGGATTCCTATAATTGTATACTAAAAGATTCAGGATGCGCGCTTTTTATTTTCCCGAATATTTTATTCGTTTTATTTTGTTGTGCCTCGTACTCTATTGATAATGTTATTCTTTCCAGAAGCACGAAATTTAAAAGAAAAGTAATGGTCTACATGTGACAAAACTAGTTGATTTATACCGAAAAACAAGATGTCGCAATCCCACTATTCGCTAAGATGGAACAATCATCAGGCGCACATACTGTCGGCATTTGACGCTTTGCTCCAAGCCGAAACTCTTGTAGATGTGACACTGGTTTGCGCAGAAACGTCCGTGAGAGCACACAAAGTCGTGTTGAGCGCTTGCTCCCCATTTTTCCAGAGGGTTTTCTCCGAGAATCCTTGCAAGCATCCTGTCATAGTCCTGAAGGATTTTAGCGGATGGGAGGTCCAAGCCATCGTAGATTTTATGTACAAAGGTGAGATCAGTGTTGTCCAAGAGCAACTGCAGAGCCTGATCAAGGCTGCCGAGAGTTTACAAGTCAGGGGACTTGCTCAACAAGATCAGTTCGCCGTTGATAAGGATTCCAGTGCAATCACAAATCACATGCCGACGCCCTCGACCTCGCCGAACGATTACGACAGGAATTTTTATCCCACGGGAAGGTTCCCGACTCCGGGAACTACAGTCAAAACTCCCGGGGAACGTTCGTCGCCCTTTTCGCCTCTGCCAGGTCCGAATTTCGAACCGCCGTTGAAATTACCTCACATGTCGCATTTATCGTTTCCCGAAGCCCTTTTGCCGCGTCCGGATTGTCAATCGCCGATCCCCAGAAGGAAACAGGCGAGGCCCAGGAGAAGATCGGGAGAAATGTGCGGAGCCCAGGATCTTAGTACCACGGCACCTAAAGTACCCTCGTCGCCGGTCGAAGAGACGGCAGAGAATTTGTGCATGAAAAAACATACCAAAGAAAGCGATAAGCCCAAGGAGATGCTCAAAGTAAAAAAGTTAGAATCCAGAACTCCCGAACCCGAACTGACGAATCAACACGAGAAAGACTACAGTTCTTCTTCGCCCATGAGCTTGCCACCTATGCTGAGTATGCCTCAACATGACTTGGACAATCATTCACCTTTAGCCTTTCCTCCCATGCCTTCTGTTTCAGCACTTGCTATGACACCTCCTCATACGAAATGTAAGCTTTTATTATACGCTTAGATGAGACAATTTTAACTTTAATAATGACCCAAAGGAAAACTGATCGCGGTACATGCACAGTTTTGTAGCGGTTTCTCTGGAAGGAACAATATTTTTTAAAACCTATCATAATTCTTAAGGAACAACTTCAGGTTCAGGTCGGGAACTTTCGGAAATTTTAATAAAGCGACAGTACCTGTCTCAAAATTTCGAGTGTTCATTACTTATTGTACTGCCATCAGTTTTCGTTTGGAGATTTATTTACTGAACACCGTGTATATTTATGTCCAAACTTACTTAGTGTACTATTGTTTTTTTTTTTCAGTGAATATCCCTATGTTTGATTCTCAACTCGCCACCAGTGTAGGAAAGTATGTATATGTATGTGGGCTTATAGCGAACACACCCGTTATTCTTAATCAGTTCCTAATTCCCGCTGATTTCTTGGCATCTAAAATACGTCACCGGTCCCTGGTCCCCGATCTCCGCTGTCCTTTTACCCCCTCGCTTGCCCGACTAACCA